GCCAGGATCTAAATCTAAATTGTTCCGGGTTTGATTCAGTGGCCCATACTCGTCCCACTGCCAAACCTCAGGCTGCATCGGGTTGCAGGTACAGTTGTGACCGATTACCCAATCTAGGAGCAAAGATGGGGAATTTTCCTCACACATTCTTAAAGACATAGAAATATCTATCAGAATCTGAGTTATTACAATCCCAGTCCTAACGTTTTTAAGAGGCAACATTTTAGTGACTTGTTCAGTCTTATATCTTCTATTGGGATTTCTGAAATACTAAAAATAGATCTGGGTCTCCATTACTAATTAGGGGACCTCCGGATGGGCACTAGACGGGTTACCGCCCCTCAGCAGGGGAGACTAATCCACGGGTAAAAGGTGTCAGGAGGCAATCACTGAACTGGTGTGAAAGGCGGCAAAGAAAGTTCTTCTGGCCCTCTCCCCTCAAAGCGGCCCCTCGGCCCTCAGAACCCGTCTTTTCACCTGAGAAACTCTCCTCTTCTTAGACACTTGCACTCTCCTCACAGAACCCCCAAGCCGCCAAGGAACTCCCCAAGTCCCAGGGAACCCTCTTTTCCTCACAGAACCTTCCTTCTCTTCAGAGAACCCCCCTCTCTTCCCGGAACCCCCTTTCCATCTCCTCCAAGAACTCTTCCCTCACAAAACCTCTATCTCCCTTCAACTTCCCAAGGGAACCCCATTCCCCCACGGAACCCCTATCTCCTCACGGAACCTCCATTTCCCCACAGAACGCCCCCAATTCCTCACTCCCCTGTGAACCCCCACTTCTCTGCTCCCTGACGTCCCTCAGGCCCTCCCGGGCCCAGCCTCACCTCGCGGCTCCTCCACCGAGCGCCGGTGCAGCTCGCGGTAGCGCTGCAGCGAGGGGACGTGCGCGGAACGGCTGATCTCGGGCGGCGGAGACCAACTCCGCGCCTGGTTCCGGGCTCCAGGCTCCTCCCGGGTCCCGCTCCGGCTCCCGCTGTCGCTCCGGCCCCGCTCCTCGGGAAGCCCCATCGCCTCAAGTTCCGAGCACCCTAGCGGCCGCGGGTGCCCAAGCGCGGAAAACAGGCCGACGGAGGGGCGGGGCCTTAAGTGAAGGGGAGGGGCCTGTGGCGGGGGCGTGGCTTAGGCAGCTGGCGGGGTGGGCGGTCCGGAGGAGCGGAGCCATGCCTGGCGGAGGTGGAACCACGGCTGGAGAATAAACCGATAGGGAAAAGTCGAGCATTGCTTGGGAGATAAGGGCGGAGCTGATTTGCGGAAGGGATGGGGCCGTAGAGTGAACGCAGAAGGGGCGGGGCCGGGCGTGACACGAGAGAGGGTCGGCCCATGGAGTGACCGGGAGTGGCGAGGCTGTATGTGACAGGAGAGGAGGCAGGACTATGGAGTGCCTGGGGTGGTGTCTTGAATTACTGACGAGGAGTTGGGTGAGGGCGGGGCTCGAGCGGGGAAGAGCTGGGCTAAAGAGCGGAGTTGGGTCTGGCCCATCATGGAGCCGCCCCGTGCTCTGATTGCACAAACCTGTCACCCTACCGAGTTTAGCAGCCAGGTGGAGTAGGGTCCTTTCCGGGAGACAGCCTTCCTCTCTGGAAACTATCTCCCACTCAGATTTCTCCCACCCCAGAGGATAAGTCTTTCTTTCCCTGCATCCACAAATTTCCATCCAGACCTAAAGTGCAACGACTCATTAAGTAAAGACTAGGAGGTGACTTCAGGCCTTTGCTAATAAACTCATTCCTCATTGCACACATGGTAAACTCGGGGAAAGGGAAGACTTTGCACAAGGTCACAAAGAAAGCAACGACCAAGTTAGGGCCAAACCTAGGTCTCCCGACTCCAGGTGTTTTTGCTGCCTTATTTGGCTGAAGCTAAGGCTTTGAGATACCAAAGTCTATGTAAATAGAAGGAATCGTTCACACCCTTCTTTCCTTCCCTGTCTCTTTATTTCACCAGGATATCCTTCCTCTGCCACACCTGGGCTCAAATTCCTCTGGCTTCCCTCTATGCCTTCTACTCCAGAAAAGAGAGGCCAGCCAGGACCTTCCATCATCTCACTCACCACTAAGAAGGGCCTACCCTACCTATCAGTTCACAGAATGGCTGTCAAGGCAGAAAGGATCCTTAAATATATGACTCCAAGAGTGAGTCTGAGGCCCAAAGCAGGCAGCTCCCACTTCCTGAAGCTTACACAGACCCCATCTGGCCCAGCCTCCCTTCCCACCTGCTCCCTTGTTCTTTGTTCAGATAATCACAAGCCCAGCACACCCTAAACTGAGTAAACAAAAAATAAAACAAAACAAAACGTTTCCATGGTCAGACCTATGATCAGAGCCTACCTAATTCTGAAGGGAGGGTATCAGAGCTCACTGAAGGGATACAGACCTCATGGAGTGGACATGGATATGGATCCCACTGAGGAGACAGATAATTCATCTAGGAGGCATTAACTGCACTTAAGGGGTACACACTTCACTGAAGGTACATGGACTCCATTAAGGGAGCACAGATCTTACTGAGGAATCTCAGATTTCACTGAAGGGCTATGGACCCTGCTAATAGGACATGAATGGCATTGAAGGCCACTGACCCTACTGAGAGGACACAGGCTTCCTCCTAAGATATAGACTTTCTGAAGAAACAGACTCCATTGAGAGGATTCAACCCCACTGAATGGCCTCTTACTACACAGAAGGAATGCACACCACTGACAGGGGGCACAGACCTCATTTAGTGAGGACAGGCCCTACTTGGGGGGATCAGACTTCACTGAAGCATAATAAGCCCTAGGGACATCACTGAGGAGATATGAACCTCTCTGTGAGCAGGACGGCACATGAAATGGCACACAGTCCTAGTATAAACAGTCGTCTTCCCATCCCACATGCACAGCTCAGGGCAACCTTTTCCCTCTCCCCACTCCTCAACTCTTCTCCCAAGCCCTAGAGCTGTTCCCAGCACACTTCTTGCCCCTTCCTGTCTACAGATGGTACTGCAAACGCTGGGCCTGTAATAGATTTTCAAGCAGTCCAGATAATCTCTGAGCCAGGAGCCTGTGGTTGGGGAAGGAGGGGATGTGTGGCCAGGGGCTTGACCAGCCCCCTCCCTCTGCTTGTGGACTGTAAAATGGAAGTTTGGACAAGAGGTCTTATAATAGATGGAATCAGCACCCCATCCTTGGAGATGGAGTAGTAGTGCAAGATATGGTATAATTGGCATTCCTCAGAGTGGGAAGAGAATGGACCAGGTTAGACGAGATGAGAATCCACGAGATTAAGGAAACAATAATGATAATGATAATGATAATAATACTTATGGTATTTATTAAGTGTCAAAACCTATATTAAACACTTTCCAGATGTTATTTAGTCCTCATAACCTAGAGATGGATACTGTTATTCTCTCCATTTTACAGATGAGGAAACAGATACTCGAGGAGATTGTTTTGCCCAGTTTGTAAACTGTAGCACAGGGAACAGAACCTAGATTAGAACCTAGAACAAATACCTAGACTAAAAAGATTCATTACCCACACTTTTTATCTTCCCCCACCCCAACCCACTTCTGTCATACCACCACCGCCATTATTTCTTTCTCAAAGTGTCCTTTTCCAGAAGCACATCAAAAAATCTTTAAATGATGGTTAATTTTCAG